TTTTCAATATTAGATTCCATTGCATCCAGCATGATCAATTCTCACGCATCATTATTCTGATAATCCCTTCGCAATTCAGCTTTTTGGAGGAAAAAGACACATTGTTTTGAGAATATTAAAAAATATCTAGACTTGTATTTTGCACTTTCAATAATAAGATAATTTGCCTAGAAAAATGAAAAAAATGGATAAGTAAGATTATTTTGTTATCATTTTAGTTGTGATAAAAAAATTTAAAAATTCCAAATGGGTCTCGGCTTACAAGAAGTTATAACATGAAATTATTGGAGATGGTGATGGAATAAAGAATGAGTGGTGTGACAAAGATTTCAGAAAATCAAGTTAGTGTCTGCAAGTACGTAGAGCAACTATGGAGGCTAGTTTTCTATTACGAAGTTCATGAAATAATATTAGAGCAAGTAAAGGATCGGTGGAGGCTAGTTTTCTATTACGAAGTTCATGGAATAATATTAGAGCAAGTAAAGGATCGGTTTTTTTTTTTTTTTTGGCTGTCCTTGAGAAATGATAAGATTATCTCGAGAATAGATTTAGAGGATGTTTAGCAGAAAAATGCAAACTTAAGATTGTTTAAAGTTACTAGTATGCAAGGGATAAGCTATTAGTGTTTGAGTAATTCTGAAGGCACTAAAGAACATCTAATCAGAACAAGTTTTCATTAAGAATTAATTTAAATTCATTATATTTTTTTGTATTCATTGATAGCTTAGAGTTTTCATTCCACTAAAAGCATTGATGACTGATTACGATAAAAATCAGAATACTAGAGGTAGGTTTGGTCAAGGCTTCTCAGAATTAGTTCAAGCTGAAAGATCTATTAGCCTCATATCGTTAAGAGCCTGGGAATTGTTTCAAGGAAGAATAAACCCGCAGCTTTTATTGGTTTTTGAAGGTGACCATTACTTCAAATATTTTTAATTAAGAAAACAGTAATTACGAAGTTCATATTGAACTTGAGGCCTACATAGAATAGGCACCAATCATTGATATGGCTAGTCATTATATTTGAAAATAAAATAAAATGCAAATGAAACTTTAATTAATTTACTCTTTAACTGTTTTACTTTAGCTGAATTATATCGTCATTCTATATTATCCTTAACTACATTTTGGTAGTATGTTTATTATGAACTTTTAAATTAGAAGAATGGCAGGGGTTGTATTATTTTTAGTGTTTTGTAGGATTCAAATTAAACATATACAAGTATTTATATAGGATATTTGGAATGCCCCAGAATGACCATTTTTGGGCAATTCCAAATATTTAGAAAACTTGTAGCCTGTGTGCTAGCCTTACCAGCCTGATGTTGTCAGCCATCGTTGTTGCCTACCCGCCACCCGCTTGTGCTCACCCCTACTCACTGAAACAATTGCCTCTCACCTGCTGCCTCGCTTATTAGTGCCTTTGCTTGCTGCCACCCTTCATCTACCATCATCTTTGTAGTTTCCTATTGCAATTGTCTACCATCACTTTCTAATCATGCTTTCATTGCATTTCAAAGCATTTGAAATGTATCGTACCATATAAAATATATATTTTAATGCATTTATTTTATATCTAACCAAACAATTCATGAGTTTTTGAAATACACTCATTTCTCCGCTTTTCTAAAGTGTATGTATTTTGAAATCATCCGATCATATAGGCCTGAGAATTTCTGTAATCTTCACTATATCTTTTTGTTTCTCCATCACATGGTTCATGCTCTCTATGAATGATTTTTCTAAAAGTTTAAGTTTGGTCATAAAGTAAATGTGAAATTTAAAAAACAAAGTAAATTTTTTAAATAAATGAAAAGGGGGATTGAAATTAGGATAGCAATGATGGAGAACATGCTATTTAATGTTAATTTATGTAAAAAGAATCCATATTAATATTGATATTGTTTTATTTTATAAAATAGAATAGGTATAAAGTTGGGGATATCAACATTTAGAGTCATGCTATTTGATAGAAATGGTTAATTCATAGATGAAAATTATATAGATTTAAAAAATTGTACGTGCACAATGAGACTAGCAAATTTAATTGTTTTTTATCTTTGGCGACGAGGAACTAATAACAATGTTGATTATTGTAAATATAAAATGTAAAGATGATGTGGGGAATTTAGGTAGAAAAAAATAAAGAAATAATTATTGTTGGAGATTGTGTGATAACATCTATTAAAGAAAAAATTATATACGGAACCTTATGCGCTTGAGGTATATTTATGGAAGAGCAATACAAGCAGTCCCTTATGCGCTTGAGGTATATTTATGGAAGAGCAATGAATGCACCCCTAAAACAAGCAGTTGATCATATTAATATGAAAATAGTAAAGAAAAATGAGTATTTCAAAGCCAAATGGTTTCTAGTTGTGCAATAACATTTACATGACATAGTTATCACCATGTGCCACACATAATAGGGACTTCGTTAAAAGATTTTCGAGAAATGGACCAAAATAGTTCACTGATTATTTGTGGGAGGCCATTTTAATTCTTGACTTTGTAAAATGCTCAATTTAGTTCCTGAATTTTTCTAAACATGGAATAACGTAATTCATTTTCTTAATTTATGGAAAATGAAGTTAATGGTTTAAAAATGAAATTTATTTTAGGAAAATATATTTTATTTTTGGGGTATTTACATGCATAACACCCAATTCCTTTGTATTTATATATATAACACCTAAACTTTACTTTTTTACATTTATACCACCCAATTCTTTCATATCACACAAAATATCACTATTTTAACTTCTTAAAAGTGAATTGATTATTTTCATGCATAGGTAAGGTGACATATATGTAAAAATTTAAGCTTAGGCGTTAGATATGTGACGGTAAGATGACATATATGTAAAAATTGAAGCTTAGGCGTTAGATATGTGAATACATAGGAATGGTATGTATGTAAATCTTCCTTTATTTTTTGAATTTATAGTAAATCTAATTTTTTAATTATTTTATTTCTGTGTGCAATGGTTAATTCTGCACACAACAATGACAAATTGAGATTGTGCAGGCTACGGAGTGGGTTATTTTTTTATGATAAATTATTTTGTTTGATGTTTTGATTATTTTGATTCCATTTAAAAGTCATTGTGTATAATTTTTTATTATAATGGAATTATGATGATAAAAATATCAAATAAAATTATTTATTACCAAAAAATAATTCTTTACTTTGCAAGCTCTGAATTCACTAATGTACATGAAGGTGCTCTAAACCAAGAAATATAGTAAAAATAAAATTAGATTTATTATCAAATTTAAGAAGAAAGCATTTATTAAAATACCCTCATTTGGACATCATTTGTTTTAATTTCTGTTAATTGAGATGTCAAAGCTATCTTGGTCTACGTCTAATGTTTCTAGGGAATCAAGCCTTTTTTGTTTTTTGGTACTAAATAACACTTCACAAATAGTACGTGAACCATTTAAGCCCTTTCTCAAAGATTTATGAAGCCAACCTGAAATATTTGGTACAAGCTTTCTAATGAAATTGGATGGAGATATTTATATTTGTGGGAATTGAATGGATTGGGCATTGTTAAAAGTGTATGTTCTTTTAACCACTAACTTTTGTTAACTAGGATTGATTTATTGAGCATTCTTTTTATGAGATTTACTTCCCATTGAATCAAAAGTCTTTCGATTCAATGCGGATATTGTATCATGTACAGGTGATTTTAATTTGTGTGAATTGATCTAAACTAGAAATTGAAGATTTCTAATTTGACACAAGCCAAAATTGTGTTAATCAAGCTATTATTGTTTGATTTTGAGTTGAGTTTAGAGTTTGTTATAAGAATGTCTATTTCTTCTAAAAAAAAAAAAATTAAGCCGCTTGTTCGGATTGCTTTCCTTGTAGAAGTATTTGAAATGGACTAAAGTGTCAAGATAGTCTCCTAATTATTTACATGGGACAATTTTAGTTTCAATGTTTATAAAATTTTCAAATTAGTTCTTGGATTCTTTTAATATGTGCTGAAATAGTCCTCAAGAATGAATATTTTAGCTCTCATTAAAATAATCTAGAGGAATAAATTGGTATTTTTATAGACTGGGACATGGCACTCTACAAAAATTTGGGGGATTGTTTGGACACTTTTCTCATTTAAAATGTATATATAAAGATTTATGATAAAATATAACACATGTAAATCTTAAATTTATTGTTTCACGTGTTATATAATTATGAATACTTATATAATATAACACATGTAAATCATAAATTTATTATTTCACGTATTATATGATTAGAAATATGTAAATCATAAATTTATTATTTCACGTATTATATAATTAGGAATACTTATATATGTACACTTATATATGCATTAACACTTAAGTATTCGCATTTATGTATATTTCAAATTGAGTCAACCTGATTACTAGTAATCATGTTCCATTTAATCGTATTGATTTTGATTTCGAGCCTATTAAAATTTGAGTTATTATCGTGCAAGCTTTTAGTTTTGAAAATAACTAGCAACCTATTAACACAACATATTTTTTAACCGAACAGGAGTGACTTGCTGAATCCGAGATATGAACTTTCCTATTTTACCGCCAATGCTTCTTTAGTTTCACTTTTTATGTCAAAATTTTAATTAGTATTATGCAATATTTGGTTGAATTTATTCCTGCATAATTTTTTTTGCTCAACCAGATAAAATGAATCTTCTTGTTAACTGGATATTTTACTTGAAATTTGAATTTTTATTTCACCAGGCATATTCCTCTGAATCTTCATTAAGTTCTCTTTTCATCTGCAAAATTTCAAATGTTTATTCAATATGGGTACTCTACCATACTTGCTTTATTCAACTTTTTTTGAGTAATAACTGCTAATTCTGTGTGTTATTTAACCTCAGGATTCATTTTTCCTCTTGAGAAACATAACATTATGTGCTAACTGGCAAAATTTAGACCTAGCTTTGTTTCTATTTCTATCAGAATTAAAGTGTATAGCTTCTTTATTTTTCTTCTAGGATGTAACTGCAACAAAAGGAAATGATTTTGAAGACTATTTTCTGAAGAGGGAGCTGCTTATGGGTATATATGAGAAGGGATTTGAAAAGCCTTCACCCATTCAGGAAGAAAGCATTCCGATTGCCCTAACTGGACGAAACATTCTTGCTAGAGCGAAAAATGGGACTGGGAAAACTGCCGCCTTCTGCATTCCAGCATTAGAAAAGATTGATCAAGACAAGAATTCTATTCAAGGTTTCTGCAAATGCTCAAAAACTGCTCATCTTTATTGTAATAATTGTATTTTACTCAATTGTCTACCTCTGATTGTCAACTATAACTTCAAACATTCCTTTTGTTTGAGTGCTTTTGCTTTTAGGAAGATTTGTGTGCATACCACTCAATTCCTATATATATACATATCTAACACCTAAACTCGAATTTTTAGATACATGCCTGCCACCTTACCTATGCATGAAAAGTTGTATTTCACCTTTTATGGGATATCTGAAGAATCTTCATAAGAAGCAACTGTAGCCGATACGTGCCAGGTTGCTGCCAGGCTCGTTATTGCTTGAGCCTTATGTGTTATCTTAGCTGCACTATGTAGGCACATTAGCAGCCCGGTCACCAGCCCGGTTGAGCACAACTGCAATCATGCGTTTCACCACAATATTTAGGTGTTGTGTGACAACATATGAGATTTAAGATATTAGGATTTAGTAAATCCTATAAATCTGGATTTACTTAATCCTGCCAACAATAGAATTTGGTAAATCCAGGTTTTAAGGCAAAACTAAGAAGGAATTAGATTTACTAAATCCTAATAAGGAATTGGATTTACTAAATCTTAAATTTAAAATTGCCTTTTTTTTTTTTTTTTTTTTTGCGCGGAAAGATTCAAGTTAAGTCTGACTTAAATCCTACTTGATATGCATACCCTAGCACTCCTCTATGCAAGTTGTTGCCAAATGTTAAAATTTATTGTGTAATCAACCTCGGACTGATATCTTTCTGATATGCAGTTGTCATATTGGTTCCTACAAGAGAGTTGGCTCTTCAGACATCTCAGGTTTGTAAGGAGCTCGGGAAGCACTTAAAGGTTCAGGTAATGGTAACTACTGGAGGAACCAGCTTGAAGGATGATATCATGCGCCTGTATCAACCTGTCCACTTACTTATTGGGACACCGGGTCGAATTTTAGATCTCACGAAGAAGGAAGTTTGTGTTTTGAAGGATTGTGGCTTGCTCATTCTGGATGAGGTATGGTTAAAAATGGTATTAATTTTGCTGAGTTTTGATTTTAATCTTATTTGCTTGCTTGAAGCTGACTGATTTGGGCTTGATTTGGTTTTGTTTTGATTTTCTCAAAGAAACCAAACTATAGTTTTGATATCAAGGAAAAAAATTAACAACCCTTCTTTTCGCACTTGTCCCCATTGTTGGCTCGTACATTTGGAGTAGTTTTCTCTTGTTTAAACTCGTGATTATGCCAAAAAATGTTAAACTTTTAGAGATTTAATTATTATAGAAGTTATGAGTTTGACTTTTTATTTAATTTGATCTTCAAGGTAATTTCAACGATATAATCACTATTATGCAAGATAAACAGTTAAACGTTGAAGTTCTCTTTTCTTTTCTTTATTGCAAGATATTGTTTTTCCATTTCCCTGGAGCCAAGGAACGCCTGGAGGTTTTCTTGGTGCCACTATCTTTTTTACTGGTGTAGCTTATAGAAAAAGCTTTCCATGTATAGATATCGCTGAATTATTTATGACATCAATGGTTCAATAGCATGCTTTAAATAAGTTTGCAGTATCAGGTTCCCTGTCATACTTTTGGTGCGTGAGGTGTATGATTATTTGCTTGATGATTGTTTAATACGAGAGTTTGTGGGTGTCATGATGTGTTGCACATAAAGAGCCCCAAACCCCCTTTTTTTTTTTTTTTTTTTTTGAAATTTCTATGGAATTTCTCTCAACTAGCTCCAACTGGCCTCTGCTACCATTCCTCAATAGTCTCCACCTTCAAGCTTGTCCCCAAAAGCCCTCTACCAACAGGCAATGTGATTCCAGAACTAGTAGGGAAAACAGTAAAAACATAAAAACAAAGTTCATTAATATTAAAATAAGATTACAACATGACTAGAGTGGAAATAACAATACAAGACATAAAAAGACACAAATAAACACTCACACTCCTAATTTTATCCCATTGGGTGGTGGAAGTCAGCTAGAGAGATAGGAATGATTAGGAGGGATGAAGGCAATCACGTGAGGTGGGTGGCAGCGAAGGGAATGTGTGGAACTAAAGGGATAATAAGTGGGAAGGGTTGTAGGTGGGCGAAAATGGTAGCAGGGGGTTTGGGAGGAGCTTGAAAAGGTGTTAGGAAGGCGGGGCAATAGTAATAGCCTACAGGAAGTGGGAATGTTCAGGGTGACAGTGGGAGAGTTCGGCGGCATAGTAGTGAAGAGGAGAGGGTTTGGGGAAGATAGAATGGGAAGATACAATCACCACCTCGGAGAGGATGCAATTGGAGAACTACCACTTTCTTAGATACAACCCCACATAGGGGAAAAGACTCCGCACAAGAGATCTGAAACTAAACTCAAACACAACTCAAATCTGACTCCCACATACACAAAGACAACAATTTATTTACTTCTAAAGGAACCTTCTACACAATGGACTAGAGTGGGAGGCCAATAAAAATCCAAAAAACACTCCCTAGAGCGGCAACCTTTTGAAGCTTTTCTGGAGGCGATGCTTCTTTATGGATCGGGACATTTTGTTATCTCCGTCTCCTACCTTCGCGGGGAATCTATCGCTCGCGAACCGTTGTGAGAAATCATGATTTCCCCGCCCCACTTCTGCAATTCTAAGCGGGCTGGCCTCGCGGTTTGAAGCGCCCGAGCTGTGTGTTGTTTTAGCCCCCGAACTGTGTGTTGTTTTAGCGCATGTAGTAGTCTCTTGGGATTGGGGGAGCTGCAAATTCATAGTCGAAGCTTTCATTTTGTAGTCAATTACCCCTAGATCTCACTGACAGCTGCTCTGTGTCCCTTAGTGAAAGAATACATGTTTTTATATCCGTTTTGTTAAGTCTTTCAATCAATTTGTCTTGGTCTTCCCAACAAAAGGTGGCAGACATTCATAGGGACCACGTCACACCACACTAGTCCTGCAACTGTTCGCTGATCGAAAATTCTACCAAGCATCTTCGGTCTATGCTGACCTGATTGTCCTTCTTCAACCATATAAGTGAATATGATTGGGAATATCTCTGCGTTGTGAATCCTAATTTCTCTACCATGTGTCGACGCCACATTCTTGCTACTTTCTCAGTTGATGATGAGACTGCATGCCTTTTCGTTTATTTTGTATCGTGTAGAATATATTGTGGCAAAACCACTGCGAATCTCTAGTATCATCTGTCTGCAGGATCTGTCATATCACGAGCGTCTCTCTTTCATCTGGGGTAAGTTGATACACCTCACCCTATTCCTCGGCCTTCTCTTCATCATTAATATCTTCCATGCCGCCCTGATCAGTAAGTGAGAAAACTCTACTTGTGGGGCAGCTAGAGACTACGTGGCCGTAACCGTGGCACTTGAAACATTTTATGGCCGATACAATGTTGGAAGCGCTACCTTTCTCCTGCTTCCTCTCGTTCTGATTCAGACTGACGTTCCTGTGTCTGGGCTTGCTAGTCTCTTCTGGGGTAACTATGTCGGTCGTCGTAACTGTAGGTGGCTGCTTGCCTAGAGGTTGCTGCCTGAAAGATGACTCCTACTTACTTTGCTTCTATTGTCATTTCATTTCAAGGCCAGTGTTTGGACATCTCCCAGTGTCTAGTATGATTGCAGTTGCACCACATTGCTAATGGCAAGCGCAGTACCCAAGATATCTGGCTAATGTATGCTCTTCCAGCTCTATCAGTTCACACTTGAGCTGTAAGTGATCGAATTAAGCTGTGAAAACTCCTCTACTTAAAGATCTCTCTGATGCAAGTTGTGAAGCTTTAGAAACATATTTTGACGATTATGGGGTGGGAGGCATTTCTCTGCATTACCTTCTTCATCTTCTCCCACTTAGTGATTTTTTCATTGCCTTCCATCTTCCTCTTTCTTTGTACATTTTACCACCATAGGGAAACCCTCTTTTTCAGCTTGATGGCAGTTAGCTTGCCTCGCCTTTCCTCCAACACCTCCTTTTATTTGAAGATTCGTTCAACAGTTTGTAGCCACTCAAGGGATTCATCTGGATCCATGACTCCTTTAAACTCAGGTAAATCTACCTTGATCCCATTATCTCTGGATTCTTCTACTGGTATGTCCTCGCGGGAATTCTCCCTTTGGGAGGGATTAAAATATCCCTCTTTAGGCCTTTCTGATATTGAATCCCAAAATTTCGTGACCTATCCTCTTCATCGTTGAAAGTCTTCCCATTGAAAGGATTCATATTGTCATTTCTTTCTCTCCTTCGACTCTCCAGATTCTAGTCGAAGGTATCCTTCTCCCATGTTAACTCTTCAATCTCTGCAACTCTCTGTTGGAGACGACGGAGCTCTTTGTTTAACTCTTCCCGGCTAGGCTCGGGCATGTATCTCCGAGGCGGCATAGCTAAGGATTAAGGAATGAGAAAGAAGAATTTTAGTGGAGCTAGTGTTCGGGTTGTGGAAGGTATATTGGTGATAGGAATGAGAGTTTTGGTTTATAGCAGATGCTCGAAAACCTAGGATGAGACTAGGACTAGACTAGCTCTGCTACCAAATGATACTAGAGCTAGTGTGAAAATAATGAAAACACAAAATCAAACTTTTATTAACAGTAAAATAGGATTACAACATGACTCAAACGGAAATTATAATACAAAACATTAAAAGACACAAACAAACACTCCTAAATATATCTTATTGAGTGTGGAGTTCGGCTAGAGGGATAAGAATGATTAGGAGGGATGACGACAATCACGGGAGGTGGGAGACAGCGAAGGGAAGGTTCAGAACGAAAGAAACAATAAGTAAAAAGGGTTGTAGGTGATCGGCAACGGTAGTAGGGGGTTGGGAGGAGCTTGAAAGGAGTTAGGAAGGCAAGATATTAGTACTAGCCTGCAGGACGGGGGAATGGTTGGGTGTCGGTGTGACGATGGGAGAGTTCGAGGGCAGTGGAGTGGAGGGGAGAGGGTTTGAGGAAGTTAGAAAGGCAAAATACAATCACCACCTCATAAAGTATACAATCAGAGCATCACCACCTCCTCGGATACAACCCCACAAAGGGGAAAGAAACTTTTCAAAGGATATCTGAAACTAAACTCAAACTCTACTCAAATCGGACACTCCCTCATGCACACCCTCATGCACTAATACAACAATTTATAGACTCCTAAAGGAAACTTCTGCATAAAAGAAGAGAGTAGGAGGCCAAAAAGAATCCAGAAAACACTCCCAAGAGTGCCAGCTTCTTGAAGCTTCCGTAGAGGTGATGCTTCTTCACGGATTGCGACATTTCGCGCTCTTCGTCTCCCACTCGCAAACCCCCCTCGCGAGAAATTGTGATTTCCCTGCCCCGCTTGTGCAGTTCTAAGCGGGCTGGCCTAGCGGTTTGAAGCGCCCAAACCGGGCTCTTTGTGGCACCCTTAATTGGACGTTGTTAGCGTCCATATCACAATGTGTAGCACCAATCTCTCTAACTCTAGCCAACTCTCTAATCATAGCTTCTTAGTTATTGTAATTTTTCCATTGATCTTATATATTGATTGTTTCACTCTATTTTTGGGTCCCCCAAATTCATTTATTTTTTTTTCTGGAGTTGGTCCTATAATTGCATAAATTCAGTACAAATGATGAAATAAAATACACAACTACTTCTCTTTAATAATTGTGTTGGATTTTTCTTTCTTTTCTTTGCATTCTTGTAAGTTGCAACCTTCATCACTCCATTGGCACGATGTTAGAGTCGTCATTGATGCAGTCGTGTTCGTGTCTTAGTTTCATTTGAAATTATAGTTGACAACGAAAATACATCAGGAGAATTACTAAAAACTCTTCTAACATATCATTTGAATTAAAAGAATTACCACAGGTGATCATAATCGATTCATATCTTTCTGAAGGGAAGAGAAATATTAGGTCATTTTTTTTTTCTACACTAGAACTCAGCAAAACTATCCCACATTCAACATATGGAATTAACCTGACTTTATAATGATGTTTTGGTTATGGAACTTTATAATTCTTGGGATTAGTGATATGTGTGTGCTTCTTTGTTGAACAAAAGAAATATAGAATATGACAAATCAAAATTAATTTTTAGAGAATGATGTAGCTAAAATTTATGAGATCAAAGCCAAGTTCTCGTTCACAAAGTGAGGACTATTCATCATGGAATACTCCAATCTACTGCATGGTTTTTGGCAAGAGATCAATTGATATGCAACAAAGATGCAGCCACCCTTAAAGTTCTATTTGAAAAAAGACCGAATTTATTATTTTAGTTGGATTAAATTTTGAGTTTGATGCTGTAACCATACAAATTCTTGGGAAGTGTTATTTACTTTCATTAAAGGAAGTCATTTCCATTAATAGAACAATAGAAGGTAAATGGGAGGTTATGATTTACCAACTATCTTGGGGAATTGTCTATGGTGGTGACAAAGGTTGTCAACATGAAGAACTGCAATTTAAAACCGTCCGCTGCATTGGAACATAAGCAGCCAACCCCAACAAAGTAGTCAATAGAGATTCTCTATGTGCACAACTTATAAAAGGGCTCAACGTACAAGTAAAGGGTGTTGGAAGCATTATGGCAAGCTTGTAAGGGTAAATATGATATCACAGGGAGGATACACAGAAGAATAGAGAAATTTATATATAACGCAAGTGGAAGAAGGTGAGCACCAAAGATAACACTCATTGAGTTCCACTAAGATAAAATAAAATTACTTAATATAGATTGAGCACTAGTAATAATAACTTTGATAAGATTATCATTACTATAAAATCATATTGAAAATCAAATATTTCTACAAAAAAATATATCAACGCTCAACATTCACTCTCTTACCCAAGAATAAGTACTTCCATTGATTTATTTAGTAAAAAAATTATGTTGTCGTCAAAACTTTTTTTTGTTAATTTTATCATCATATTTAATATTTCTTTTATTTAATTTAAATTCTTTTATTTTGTTATTAATAAAGTACAATCCGTATATGTATTTTAAAAATTCAGAATCCTCTCTTTTTTTATGCAAATGGTGTTTCTATAGTAATGCTCTTAATAAATTTTGTATATGTATTTTGAGAGCTTTAACATTTAATTGCTTTGTAAGTAAACATTAAAATTTAATTCTATCTTTGATTTCCTTGAAGGAAAGAGAACAAATTGGTTTCACAGAACTCCCTAAACTTATTTTCACCATTCTCTTTATCTGCCTTTTCTATTCTGGTATTACGTGATCCCTTTGTCCAATCCAATGTCTCTTGACCCATTCTTGTTATGCTTCTTTTTGGTTTCACCCTTGCAGCCTTCTCTCCTTTTGAAATAGATGCTTGACCTGTCAGCTATTCCTCATACGACCTCATATGGTCTTCTTCTCCCTCGGTCTAAGTTGGTTGCTCGTTACCTCCTTCGATTTATTCAGTTCACTATTTCACCTGAGCTTTCTTTTGAGCTCTCACCCCCATCAGTTATCTCTCTCTCTCTTCGGCCAACCTCTTTACGTTCAACCTTCTCTTTTCAATAGTCATTAAGAACTTATTCCATTACTAATGATGCATGTTTAACAGGTTTCAATTTTTTTTTTTTTAGTTTTTCCTTAAAAATGTAGCGTTTTATGGAGTAGGTGATGCCTTTCAGAAGTTCTTTTGGGCCCAAGACAAACCCAAGCCTAAGAGGTATTTGGAAATAGTTCTCAACTAGCATCAAATGCGGCAAGGTTATGGCCCAATTGCCTGTCAATTCCCTGAGCTTGAAAATGAAGACTCTTATAGTTTGTTTAAACTTGTTTGTATGGGTTTCTTTTTGTCTACATATTCTAAATAATTGTTTAATTTACACATTCATTTATTGCGTTCCTTGCTTTAATTTCAAATGGTGTGTTTCTTTCTCATCTTGTAACGTGTTCTCCCTCGCAGGCGGACAAGCTTCTGTCACCAGAATTTCAACCTTCAATTGAACAGCTTATTCGCTTTTTCCCTGCAAATAGACAAATATTTTTGTTTTCAGCCACTTTTCCTGTGACTGTTAAGGATTTCAAAGATAGATTTCTCCCAAACCCTTACATAATCAACCTGATGGATGAGCTGACTCTCAAAGGAATAACACAATTTTATGCTTTTGTAGAAGAAAGGCAGAAAGTGCACTGTCTAAATACTCTTTTCTCGAAGGTTTGACTTTGTATACCTTCGTTTTTTTTAAAGGATGATTTCAGTGCATATCACTTAATTCCTATGTATTTAGATATCTAACACTTAAACTTCAATTTGACATAAATGCCACCTCACCGATTCTTGAAAAGGTGTATTTTACTTTTTAAAATTCAAATAGCGATACTTTGATATGATATGAAAATTTTGGGTGGTATAAATGTAAAAAAGTTAATTTTAGTTGTTAGATAAGTAAATATATAGGAAGTGGGCAATATGTATGTAAATGCCCCTTTTTTAATACATGTGTTTTGAATGCTGGCGTGTGACTGAGATTTCAAAACTGATGATTTTTTGTATTCGTTGCAGCTACAAATCAACCAATCTATTATATTTTGTAACTCGGTCAACCGTGTAGAACTATTGGCGAAGAAAATCACCGAACTTGGTTATTCGTGCTTTTACATCCATGCTAAAATGCTGCAAGATCACAGGAATCGCGTCTTTCATGACTTTCGCAATGGTGCATGCAGAAATCTTGTCTGTACAGGTATAACCATTAAGATATTAAGGTGATTGTTCTTCAGCATTTTATCCAGGGTAATTTTGAATTTAAGCAATTTTCTTTTATTATAAACAGAAATTGTGGACTCTCTCATGTTCAAGTTTGAAGTATGCTATATTCTTTTTTAATATTCCATAGTTCTTCACTTTTAGGCACGTATTTCTTAACTCATTAAATTAGTGTTTGCATATTTTTTGATCTTTTTTTTTATTTTATTTTATTTTTTTTTATTGTTGGGGTAAGAGTATTGATGATGATGATGATGATGATGATGATTACTGTAATGTAGGAGTTTACATTGGCAGCTTTACATTTTCCTCTTTATGTTCCCAAAACATTCTTGACTGCCATAGTATTCAATATCCATTTTATACATTCTTTGAATGCTGTGAGGTTTTCATAGTTATTAGTCCCGAAGTCTATAAAAGGGCTAAATTTATGCCAAAATCTATAGAAGTGTTAAATTAGTACCCAGATTCTTTTTAGTGTGGTTGAAGTAATCCTCCGTGGGTACTATTTCAGCTCATATTAAAAGAATTTGGGGATTAAATTGATATTTTTATATACTCGGAGACTAAAATGACCCAATGTAAATTGTCTAATCCACATTTTTTTCATATGTTCAATTCTATTCTACCTTTTAGTACACAATGATTTATTCGAATTTTATCGGTGGGTCATACATGTGGAGGTCTGACATGCCCCGAGTTTTTTGTTTCAGATCTTTTCACACGGGGCATTGACATCCAGGCTGTAAATGTGGTCATCAACTTTGATTTTCCCAGGAATTCAGAAACCTATTTACATAGGGTATGCTACTTCTTTTTCATACAATTACAAAAAAAAGCTTTCATTATAAGATTAATGATAATCTGTTTAAACGTTGGTCCAAAGATTATTCTCAAGTATGCTCTTTCCTTTTTTTATTGTTTTTATATTTGTTAATATTCTTATATTCTTATGACCTACCATGAGAGATGGAAATGGAGTGCTTTGTTCTTATTGATACTTTGGATAATTACATATATATATATAGCACCCAAAACATTGCTATTTACAAAATCTAGCACCAAGTGATATTTTTGAACTACCAAATCAATGTATTTATGTGTGTCACGATCAAATTATTGAGAATTTGATAAAAATGAAAAATATGGGTTGGGATTTTATGGCGAATTTTGATATTTGAGTGAGAATTCGAAAATTGGATGAAAAGAGGGTGCTAGGTCATCAACTTTGATTTTCCCAGGAATTCAGAAACCTATTTACATAGGGTATGCTACTTCTTTTTCATACAATTACAAAAAAAAAAACTTTCATTATAAGATTAATGATTATCTGTTTAAACGTTGGTCCAAAGATCATTCTCACTTTCCTTTTTTTATTGTTTTTATATTTGTTAATATTCTTATAGTCTTATGACCTACCATGAGAGATGGAAATGGAGTGCTTTGTTCTTATTGATACTTTGGATAATTACATATACATAGCACCCAAAACATTGCTATTTACAAAATCTAGCACCCAAGTGATATTTTTGAACTACCAGATCGATGTATTTATGTGTGCCACGATCAAATTATTGAGAATTTGATAAAAATGAAAAATATGGGTTGGGATTTTATGGCAAATTTTGATATTTGAGTGAGAATTCGAAAATTGGATGAAAAGAGGGTGCTAGGTCATCAACTTTGATTTTCCCAGGAATTCAGAAACCTATTTACATAGGGTATGCTACTTCTTTTTCATACAATTACAAAAAAAAGCTTTCATTATAAGATTAATGATAATCTGTTTAAACGTTGGTCCAAAGATTATTCTCAAGTATGCTCTTTCCTTTTTTTATTGTTTTTATATTTGTTAATATTCTTATATTCTTATGACCTACCATGAGAGATGGAAATGGAGTGCTTTGTTCTTATTGATACTTTGGATAATTACATATACATAGCACCCAAAACATTGCTATTTACAAAATCTAGCACCCAAATGATATTTTTGAACTACCAGATCAATGTATTTATGTGTGCCACGATCAAATTATTGAGAATTTGATAAAAATGAAAAATATGG